AATACTCATTTGTATGAACCCTTATGAGTCATAACGCTTATGTGTAAGTGTAATTAGAAACTTACAATCTCATGCAGAATCTCCCTTCTTTAATATACTCGGACGGTTGGGTGACTGCAATCTGGAGTAATACAAAATTCAGTATGTTTTTTTTTTTCAAAAGCAACAAAATCTTTTTGTTGATGATCTTTAATATTAGTATCTTACAATTCTCCAGCCGATCATCTTTTCACATTTGCTACAGTAAGTTTTGGCTACGGTAGTTCCAAGATGATTACTCACGTGGCTATTCGAACATTAATCCTACATATATAAATGAGGCTTAGACAGCAGAAGAAAGTGTATACATGTCTCAAGTTACTGATACTTACACCCAATTAAAGAGCCCTAGTCCTCCTGATCAAGACTGCAAAATGTAAAAGACAAGAAAATGAGTTGCTGGAATTCATGATATAAAATCTTGAAATCAGTAGCAATTTCATGAAATGATTTTCCCTAAACAAAGAAATTATATTCGAATCGTTACCATCGGAATATAATTGTTGAAGCATGTAACTTGCCTTCTGCACCCATGAGTATTGCAGTGGATGGTATCATTAGGAGGGATCGCATCAGGGTTGTGTTCAAGTGAATAGTAGTATCTATTCATTGTTGAAGCAGCAACTCAGAGCCGAAAAATGCAGAAGAATGAATTTTATGGAAATGACAAGAGAGAATGTTGATATATATATATATATATATATATCATCATATCATATATCATATATCATCATATCATATCATATTATAAGTGGGAAGATTCAAAGCTCAAAGTTGAATTACCATTTTATCCTTATATTAAAATAATTAAATCATATTATATTATAAGTGGGAAGATTCAAAGCTCAAAGTTGAAACAAATATTAGAAAATATTTAATAAATAACTCATTTAAATCGGTGCATGAATCAAATTCACATTAATAATTAGTTTCTCTTTTTCTGTAAAAATCAAGAATATTTGAAGAGTTTTCCATTAAATAAATTTGATATGGACTAAAATCATTGAACTAATTTAATGAAAATTAATTTTATCTACTCAACGGTCATCCTAGCTACTGTTATAAAATGCCTAGCATGGTCTTCATGTAAATGATAAGAGGAGGATGAGAGATTATCATGCAAAAATGAATTTTGCTCATCATTTTGTATGTGCAGTAATTTCCTTTTGTTTTTATCCGCTCCTTCTTGTCTTGCCTAAGTATTTTATATGTCCTTTTTAAATATTTTGATGTACTTTCTTATGATTTTTTTTTTCTATTGGAATATCTTGTGTCCTACATGAAGAAAGTAGTGATATACAATCCATGTTCTACTATGTTTCTTAATTACTGATGAAATTCATTATGAAAGATTAGTCAGTTAATTTGACATGCTTATTTGGCTCTCAATAGAGTGTTCTACTTTAGTATAAATATATTTTCAAAATTATTATTTATGAGTAGAAATAGGAATAACTAAATGAGAAATCAAATATGATTTATTTTTTTTAAAAAAAGAATCCATACCCTAAAATAAAATGGGCCACCGAATTGGAGATAAAGGATGGATCATACTCTATATAGTATATATGTGATTTTGAGGCTGTATTTTTATTTAACTTTTCGTTTATATGTATAAATTATTGACCTTATTAGTCTATTAATTATGTGTTGAAACATTCATTCCTCAAAAATTGACCATATATCTAGAATAAGTCATTTTGAAAAGTTTGTATTGTTCAATTTATATAATTATTCAAGAGAAATTTTATGAAAAAAGGAGTATTATTCTTTTCTCTTCATAAATCATGTGTACAATACTTCTCTAAGGTTAAAAAGAAGCTGTATATGACTATATGTGATATAATAATTAAAATAATTGACATATTAATTATGGTGATGACTGCAAGTGTGATTCGTAATGTACCAAGTGTTTATATCATAAATTTGCATATGTACCACACTGATGAAATCTTTTAGAACTTATAAGTTGTATGCATCAAACGTCTATATATTGTGATAATAAGCTATTTATTGTTGATGTAAAATTTTAACTATGACTGGAAAATTGTCAAACTCCAACCTATAGATTATTGACCGGAGCTGGACCCATAAATAGTTAAGTAGTAATTGTCCAAATTAGAATGTCTACTTTTGCCTTAGAGATATTATTTTATTTATGAGAATGTGATATTCTTCTGCCTAATTATTGAATGTTAATTATTTCTCATATCCATAAGTTTTTAAAATTAAAAGTTCAATATGAAGAGTCATTCTCCACTATTTAAGTAAAAACACTTTGAGAATTAAAATTTTAATATGCTTTTTAAGAACCAATTTACAAAGATTGATATTATCATAGGAAGGAAATTGCACTATTGAACATGAGAAGAAAAGAGAATGAGAAACCACACATGAAAGATAACAAAAAAAATACTAGATATATCATCTATTTAATGTTCTTCATGTGTGGTTTCTCATTCTCTTTTCCTCTCATGTTCAATAGTGCAATTTCCTTCCTATGATAATATCACACAATATATCTTTTATTATTTAGTGAATAAAATATAAATGGTAAAACTACTCTTGTTAATTTCAGCATTTCCTATTTTATTACTCAAATTTTTAGTATATAGAAATTTAATAATAATAAGGGACAAACGTGCTAGGCACGTTCTTCGAAACTAGTATATAGAAAAGTCACTTCTTGGTTCTTGAATTTACCGTTAATTTTCAATCTATTTACCCTCCAAAACTATTTTCTTTTTAATTTCTCATACTAGACATTTTATTTTGCAACCCATTTATGTTACTTTTTTTTCCCTCTCATTTGTATCTTCTGTGTGAATTTCGACAATAAAAATAAAGGTTCACAGTTAGGAGTCTTTGTCCTAATATCCTATTTGTCATTTATGTGCTTCAAATACACTTTCCAAATAGGTATATTTTTTTATTTATTTTTTGGTATTCTGAATATATATTTTGTTCACTGATAAATTGTTGCTTGAGAGGTTGATTCTACTTATTAGGTAAAGGGATATATAGTTATTTAAATTCATAATGAAGTATTCTCCCTTTAACCTCCAGTTTCAGTTTTCCTTGATATTGCAAAGCTTCTGCCTGGAAGGCTTTCAAATTGCCAAAACAGCATGGGATAGAACGGGATAAGTTGATATCTGAAAGTCTATAGAGTAGGATTGTTGTATCATAGCTTTAGCAAGAGTTAAAGAGAGAATTGTTTTCATGTTGTGTAATAAACATTTTTCGACAAATGAAATTTCTGTCAATTTTGGCCGAATAGAAATACCATTTATCATTTGTTAGCTAATTACATTTGTTGATAGAGGCTTCTAGAATATCAAAAGTCTAAAGTGATATCCATTACCAAGCTTTCGTGATGTAGAAGGTCTCTGGTTTGAGTCCAGGCAGGGGCGGCTCAACGTAATCGGAGGCCTAAAGCGAAATCTTAATTAGAGGCCTAAAATCTAAATAAACTTCACATGCATTTATTTAAAATTTATTTTTCTTACATTTTTAAATGCAAAGTATTACCTAATATATATTTTTTATATATAAATGATTTATTCAATTTCTTTTTCAATTATTAGTTTTAAATAAGATTTTATTAATTCAACGTTGAAAAATATTATTTTACTCGGGCAATCATTATATGAATTGTTAACATAGTTCTACAAGTAATAAGTTGACAAATTTCAAATAAATATAAGAGTTAGAACCATAGCTTTGATGAAGTTGATAATTTGGTTACCCCACATTTTACTATGGTTGTTGTAATGTTTGAAAATCTAAGAAGAAATGGAAAAAGAATTTACAATTCAATTTGTTCAATACTTTTTAACTATTAATTGATATTTTTGACAGAATATTACTCTAACTTATCAATAATTTAAAGAAGAGAGTGTAAAAGGAGTTAAAAAGAAAATAATGTGAGTATTAGTAGAGAGAGTGTAAGAAAATAAAATAATATTTTCTTAATTTTTTCTATTTGAATTGGGTTGAAGAGAATAAAATAATAATTTTAAATATATACTTTTTATCATAAATAATTCATGTTTTTCTTTAAAAAATTAACACATAATTTATTCTTGATAAAAAATTGAGGCCTCCTAAAATTGGGGGCCTAAGGCCAATGCCTTATTTTTGTATACATAGAGCCGGCCTTGAGTCCAGGCGAAGCCATTTTATGTATATATATTTTGAGTTTTCCTGATGTGCCAAACTGTAGTGGTGCTGCAACTTACTTAAGAAGTCAGGATCCTGTTGTTGAGACTTGAGAGGCTGATCCCTTCAGAAATAGAGTTGCTGTGGTGAAGGATAACTTTACTACACATTCACGCAAACAGGTCTATAGGATTTGTATTAGCTTTTAGGCGTTTTCAACACACGTATAATAATCCCTCTTGACAAAAGGAATCGTACAGATTTCAGAAGGTTACACATTTGCAATTATATTAAACAGAAAGCAGAAATCCAAATTAGTATACTATGAGCACTGGAACTTAAGTTAGCATATACTATAATAGTTTCCTAAAAGCCCCATTCCTTAGAAAAAGGGGAGAAAACAGATGACCACTAGCATTCACACTCATGTGTGGCTTTGAAAAATTTGGTTCCATAATAGTCATCCACAAACTAAAGTTCAGTAGCAAAATCTAAGTAAATATCAGTAATCAAGTAGTAACTTTTAACCAGCCGATTATACTCAAATGCTCGATAGATGACTTGTATCAAGAAATTAAAAACAAACTAAGCACCATATACAGAAAGAATGGTACTCTCAAATTGGTTTATTCCAACCTGAAGTAATATATACCATATGTAATGCAATCTCAAAACAGAAATGGAAAACAGAATATCACACAATTATGAATTATAGCATTTGTATAAGCAGAATATCAGCATGAGTAGGCTGTCAATGCCTGCATTTTCATCAATATTATCTATTCCATCAGCCAGTTGATCTATGTCTTCATTCGTTTCATTGGCGGGCCACCATCTTGTTCATGATTCTGTTCATTACCGCCTCCATGTTGAACAGCATTTTGCTCATTAGCTCCTACAACTTGATCAACAGTTTGCTTATTAGGGTCTTCAACTTGATTCTGTTCATTACCACCTCCATGTTGATCAGCATTTTGCTCATTAGCTCCTACAACTTGATCAACAGTTTGCTCATTAGGGTCTTCAACTTGATTCTGTTCATTACCGCCTCCATGTTGATCAACATTTTGCTCATTAGCTCCTACAACTTGATCAACAGTTTTCTCATTAAGGTCTTCATCTTGATCATGATTCTGTTCATTACCAACTCCATGTTGATCAACATTTTGCTCATTAGTGCCTCCATCTTGATCATCATTTTCACCGTTAATTCTCAATCTATTTACCCTCCAAAACTATTTTCTTTTTAATTTCTCATACCAGATATTTTATTTTGCAAACCATTAAAAATTGTATAGAGAATAAAAATACCATTATGTTTCATTTTCCTTTTATTTACTCACCAGAAAATACACATTTATATCTTAATAATGATATTGTTGTGTGAACGATAGAGTTCTTACATACTATTAATTGACTAGTGTCTGGACAAGTGTGTTGCGTGTGTATTCCGTACTAATTTATTCAAATAGTATAAAATGAATAGATAATATTATAATAAGTTTGTAATGAGTTACAAAAAAATTTAGATAGAGAGAAAATTATGTAAGCGCAAACTAATGAATGGTTGAGCCTTCATCCCCCTTTTAACTATCTAAAAATAAAAAAAAAAATTATGAGAGATTAATTAGTCATCTAAAATGAAGGAGGAAAAACAAATCATACTACTCCTATTTAATTAATAAATATAAGTACCTAAATAGTAAGTGTTCGACATAAAACATTAAAATGATACATACAAAATTTATTTATATTACAAATGAAACAATACCGATATCGCCCAAGAAAGAAAATCAGCAGCTTTAGGATTAGAATTTACTAAAAAGTGAAATACTTTTAGAAGCTATAAGTATTAATATTTTGGATTGGGAGGCCAAAAGTTTTGGAAGTTATATCTAGTAAGTTAGAAGGGCAAAGCCTGAGAATTAAAGAAAAATAATGATTAGAGTTCTGTGAATTTTAACCAGTCGATTATACTCAAATGCTTGACAGATGACTTGTATCAAGAAATTAAAAACAAACTAAGCAGCATATATATACAGAACGGAAGTACCCGAGCTCTAATATGTAAAATGTTCACTCTCAACTTGCTTTTCGAAGTACTGTAATCCCAAAACCAAAAAAGAAAGCTGAATATCACACAGTTATGAATTAATATGAACTCTAGTGACTGCACTCAGTGCAAGTGTATATCTTCGTAAATCATCTGTATGAGTAAGCCATTGATGTCTGCATTTTCATCTGTAATTGGTTCAAATGTTTGGATTTCGATCATTATGCCCATTTGAAACTAAGGGTTGATCACCCCCTCCATCTTGATTATCAACATTTTCCTCATTATTAGCGCCTCCATCTTGATTATCAGCATTTTCCTCATTAGCGCCTCCATCTTGATTATCATTATTTTCCTCATTAGCGCCTCCAGCTTGATCAACATTTTCCTCAGCTTGATCAACTCTTAAATCATAAGGATCTGAGAGTTGACCATTAGTGTAATTAAGCTTATCCCTGCCACAAAATAATCATTTGTAATTAGTAACACCTTACAACACAGCATATCGCATATGCATAGTCTCATTTTTCCAATTAAACTTACAACATCATCAAGAATTGTCCTTCTTCATAAGGACTGCCTTGGGGGACTGCAATCTGGCGAAAGGAAAAATTATGTATAAGCAACAACAAAAAAAAAAAAAAGGAAATGCAAATCCTCTTGTTCATGAGAATCGATCAAATTCTCTTTCATATTAATATCTTACAAATTTCCACCCGAGCCGGTCCATACAGTTGACACAGAAAGTATCGACTACGGTTTTGCCATCTAGTAGTTGATGATATGACTCATTCTCTGGTACTTCAACATTAAACCTGCATGCATATATACATATACCTCAGACTGCAGATTATTTTTAAAATAGCTACTGTGAAATCATGAGGCTTACATATCAGTAAAGATCCCTTGTAGCACGAAGGTTAGCTCCTGCAAAGTGTACAAAAGATGAAAATAAGTTGTTCTCGAGAAATATAACAGAGTAGTGCTTATATTCATGATACAAAATTATATCTTACATATTGAAATCAGTAGCAAATTCATCAGAAAAGAATAAGTCAAGAAAGATGAAAATAGAATAGATGGGAAAGTAGATGAAAATAGAATCCATACCTCATCAATTTCAACGTAATCTTTGACGAATGCAACTCGAGTTCCGCATCTGCAATGGAAGTAATCAGAAGAACGCATTCTGAATATCAAATCTGGAAAATGGAAAAGTTGAGAGAATGGAAATGAGAAGAGAATGTTGATTCAGAAAAGACACTTGTTGATTTTTCAATCCTGAGGAGAGGGAAATATATAGAATAAAATACCGTTGCGTTTCTTGCTTCTTTTTCTTTCTAGGAAATACAGTTGTATTTCAGTTTTGCATAACAAAAAGAGCAACTGTATTTCAACAAATGTCAACAACTGTTACAAAGATTAGGAGTCTCAAAAATAGGATATTCTCTTTCTTCTTCTTAAAAATACAAGTGACTGTGTGTGCATACCAAAAGTTAGAAGACATAAATGTAAAACGAGGCCAAATTAAAGGGCATATTTATGTGTTATGTCTAAAATAAAGCCTCCAAGCACTAAATGTCAATTTGACTTTTGACTTTTTAAATATTTTTTCAGCTTTTTAAAAAAGTATTTTTTTGTGTTATTCAAACACTTCAAAAACCAAAAAAATAGTTTAAAAGCCAAAAACTACTCAAAATAAGTCAATTTAAACCCCCACTAAAAATTATTTTAGACCACAAATTTTAAAAGTTTTTTTTTAAACTCCATAGGCCTAACCCATCGGTAGCCCCTTAAATTTGGCACGAAATTTCACTTAGGCACCTCAAGTGGATGATGTTCATTTTAGACACCTCATGTAGGGTTTCGCTGTGTCATTTTGACACTTTTTGCTTACATGGCATATTGAGTTAATACACTTGTTGAGCGAGCGTGAAAAACCTATTTAGTCGATTTTTTAATTATTTTTTTCTTCTTCTTTCCCATTTTCAGCCACCATTTTTGCAAACTTAAATATCCAACATGGTGAATAAAAACAGATACAGTAAAATGATGGAAACTATTTTAGAAATTTAGGAATAGACCCATTTCAAGATTAAATATTAAATTATTCAAGAAATTCTTTCTTGAAAGAATTTAATATTTAAAGAGGAGTAAGTTTAATTTTTGGTGAATTTTAAACTTGCTAATTAGGGTAAAAAAGATTTATTTTTTTTTGAAGAAGACACTATTAATAAAGAAAGAGTATGTAGGTGCCCAGATGTTTTAGCAAAAAAGAGATGGGGTATTTGGAGAAGACAATGGGGTGGGGGAATGGGTATGTGCATATTTTTCTGCAAATGAGTAGGGGTATTTGGAGGAGGCGGGGGGGGGGGGGTGTTTCTGCATTGGAGAAGACAATTGCGGGGGTGGGGTGGGGTGGGGGGGGGGGGCGGGGGGTCATGTGGGGATTTTATTGATTTAATTTGTTTTAAAAAAATTATTTGGGCAAAAATACACGTGTCATTGAGTCATTGGTTACTTTATATTTTTACTCAAAATTCTTTATCTACAAATTGTTTTTTGACAAATGTCGTTATTTAATTTGCCATTTTACACATGCGAGTGTAAACACACACCTCATATATTTTTGTTGATTGGCAAAAGAGTGTCAAAATGACACAGCGAGACCCTACATGAGGTGTCTAAAATGAACATCACCCACTTGAGGTGCCTAAGTGAAATTTCGTGCCAAGTTTAAGGGGCCACCGATGCGTTAGCCCAACTCCATATCAAGTCAAATGATACCACATAAAACAAGATGGAGGAAGTAAACGCCTCGTCTCACACTCCAGCCTTCTAAAAACATTGCATAAGAGTACGTAAATAATGATAAAATTTCTCTCTCATTAAATTAATAAATTAAATTAAATGCATTTACTTCCTCTTCAATCCTATCATTCCACCTCTATACCAATTTCCTTTATATTTTTCATTGTTTCACTTTCTAATTTCAATTTGGTTTATCTGAATAAGCAATACAAACCTTATTCCTACCTAGTGTAGTTGGTGAGACTATTTCTTGTATATCCTCGGTTCAACTTGAATTTACATAACAAATATTTAAAAGAGTAGTAATTTTGTGAAAATAAATAAAAAAAGACAGAGATGATTGTTTTCTTCTTACTTCTATCAGTCAAGTATCTAAAAAAACACATTATATAACTAGGACTCACACTACACTAGCATTGGATAAAAGCCATTTTATTAAAAAAAACACATTATATAACTAGTCCACATCAAAATCATGATTTTAAAGAAAAACCAAACTAAAGTGCACTAGTCCAGCTTGTAGAAAAAAAATATATTATAAATTTAAAACTTAAAAATTTATCCTTCCATCTGGAAGAAATTTTGGAAGAACTACAGGGCTATCAGTTATTCGGATCTCAAATTAAGTGAATGTAAGAATTTAAAGTTAGTGAATTCACAAATATAATTGAATGGCTTAACATTCATATGATTTGACAGAGAGTGGATTGTGTTATCTGTTCATAGATCAAAAGCCATTAGAGTTGTCTGAATTTTAAACAGTCAATTATACTCAAATGCTCGACAGATGACTTGTATCAAGAAATTAAAGACAAACTAAGCGGCATATACAGAACGGAAGTACCCGAGCTCTAATATGTATGTAAAATGTTCACTCTCAGTTGCTTTTCGAAGTACTGTAATCCCAAAACCAAAAAAGAAATTGCAAGTGTATATCTTCGTAAATCATCAGCTATTGATGTCTGCATTTTCATCAGTAATTGGTTCAAATGTTTGGATTTCGACCAATATGCCCATTAGGCAGTCCATTAGGAACTAAGAGTTGATTATCAGCATTTTCCTCATTAGCAGCACCTCCATCTCGATTATCATTATTTTCCTCATTAGCAGCACCTCCATCTTGATTATCATTATTTTCCTCATTAGCAGCACCTCCATCTTGATTATCATTATTTTCCTCATTAGCAGCACCTCCATCTTGATTATCATTATTTTCCTCATTAGGGCCTCCAGCTTGATCAACATTTTCCTCATAAGGATCTAAGATTTGACCATTAGTGTAAGTAAGCTTCTCCCTGCCACAAAATAATCATTTGTATAAGTAACACCTTACACAGCATATCACAAATGCATAGTCTCATTTTTCTAATTAAACTTACAACATCATCAAGAATTGTCCTTCTTCATAACGACTGCCTTGGGGGACCGCAATCTGGCGAAAGGAAAAATTATGTATAAGCAACAACAACAAAAAAACAAAAACAAAGGATTTCATATTAATATCTTACAAATTTCCACCCGAGCCGGTCCATACAGTTGACACAGAAAGTATCGACTACGGTATTGCCATCTAGTTCTTGATGATATGACTCATTCTCTGGTACTTCATTATTAAACCTGCATATATATATATACCTCAGACTGCAGATAGTTTTAAAAATAGGTAGCGTGAAATCATGAGACTTACATATCAGTAAAGATCCCTTGTAGCACGCAGGTTAGCTCCTGCAAAGTGTACAAAAGATGAAAATAAGTAGCAAATTATAACAGAGTAGTGCTTATATTCATGAATTGAAATCAGTAGCAAATTCATCAGAAGAATAATTCAAGAAAGATGAAAATAGAATCCATACATCATCAGTTCCAACGTAATCTTTGAGGAATACAACTCGAGTTCCGCATGTGCCATGGAAGTAATCAGAAGAAGGCATTCTGAATATCAAATCTGGAAAATGGAAAATTCAAGAAAGTTGAGAGAATGGAATGTTGATTCAGAAAAGACACTTCTTGAGGAGAGGGAAATTTGAATAAATTCTTTTTCTATTAATAATATATATTCACCGACTTAAAAGTGTAGAGAATAAAATACCGTTGCGTTTCTTGCTTCTTTTTCTTTCTTTTACTCACTAGGAAATACGTACAGTTGTATTTCAGTTTTGCATAACAAAAAGAGCAACTGTATTTCAACAAATGTCATTGTTATCTCAAAAATGACTCCCCATTTATTAATGCATGAAAAATGAAATTTGAGAAAGACTCATTATGACATCCGTCAAAAGTTACTCAATTATGACATACAGTTACTCAACTTTGTTTTATTACTCAAAAAGTCACTCAACTATGTGTAGTTATCTTAGAAAGTTATTCAACTGTTAATATTTCACATAGAATGCCACCCCACCAATTTACATAATTTTTTCATTAAATTTTGTTGACTTGAAAATTTTATTTTAAGCTAGATTCTTAAGAAAAAAAAAAATCTCATTGTAATATTTTTATTGACATTGTCCCACTAAAATTAAGTAATATATATAATACAACAAAATTTAATATTATAGTTAGTAAAACAAAATTATATCTGAAGTACCAATATAAATTATAAATACAGAAACAAACAACTCAATAATGTATTTTTTATATAAGAAAATTAGCTTATAATTGAGTAATCAGTTAATTATGTCAACGTTTGAACAATAGCTAGACAATAACGACGATTGCCGACGATTGCGGAATTTCTAATTATATGAGTAAAATTAGAGTAGCAAATTATGTCGTCATATTTGAGTGACTGCTTTAATATTATTTTAAATGCATTTAAAATGAAGTCTTGATAAATGCATATTACTACTATTTATGCATTTAAAATGAAGTCTTGATAAATATTACTTACTACATAATTTTAGTGGGGTGCATCAATGAAATGATTAAAATTGACACTTTTTTATTTTAAAAAAAATAATCTAAATCACATGTCAACAAAATTTAATGAAAAAATGATTTAAATTGGTTAAGTGACTTTCTAAGATAACTATGACTTTTAACTGGTTGATTATAGTGAATTGGTTGAATACTTGACACATGACTTGAATATAGAGAATGGTAGATCTAACAAGTAAGTGTTCAGTGTCCAAAATGAATTGATATTAATATGTACTCTAATCCCAAACCAAAAAAGAAACAGAATTTTACACAGTTATAAATCTGGTTCTGTATTTTCATCAATACTTGATTCAGTGCTCTCAATCAGAAATTATTAGACATACAGAACCACTACGTGCAATTACAACAACCTCCATCTTCTTCAATAGCATCAAAATGTTCTGGTTCATTAAGAACCTGTTGATTCATAGGAACTTGTTGATTAACATTTTGCTCATTAGTGCCCACTTCTTGGTCAATAAGAACTTGTTGATTACTGCCTCTATCTTGGTTAACATTTTGCTCATTAGTGCCTTCATCTTGATCATCAGTATTTTGCTCATTATTAGTGCCTTCATCTTGATCACCGCCTCCATCTTGATCATCAGTATTTTGCTCATTAGTGCCCAATTCTTGGTCAATAGGAACCTGTTGATCACCGCATCCATCTTGTTCATGAGTATTTTGCTCATTATTAGTGCCTTCATCTTTTTCATCAGTATTTTGCTCATTAGTGCCCACTTCTTGGTCAATAGGAACCTGTTGGTTACCGCCTCCATCTTGTTCATGAGTATTTTGCTCATTATTAGTGCCTTCATCTTGATCACCGCCTCCATCTTGTTCATCAGTATTTTGCTCATTATTAGCGCTGTCATCTTGATCATTAGCATCTCCATCTTGATCATCATTTTCCTCATCAAAACTAAGCATGTTCCTGCCACAAAATACTCATTTGTATCAACCCTTAAAAGTCGTACTCATTTCTCAATTTGCAAATTTATAATTAGAAACTTACAGTCTCATAAGGAATGTTCCAACCATAACATCCATGTCCGGTTGGGTGACTGCAATCTGGAGAAATAAAAATTTCAGTATTCGGGAAAAAAAAAAGGCAACAAAATCTTGCTGTTCATGAAAACAAAATGCTCTTTTAATATTAGCATCTTACAAATTTCCACCCGAGAAGCTTTCCACATTGAACACAGCAAGAATCAGCTAAGGTAGTTTCAAATTCTGATTGATGAATATTCTGGTTGTCTACATTAAACCTGTATATATATAAAGATGGTTTGTAACATACATATCTCAAGTTGCTGAAATCAAATTGCATGAAATCATGAGACTTACAGCCTAACAAAGATCCCAGCTGGCCACACCTGCAAAACAATAAGCATAATATTGAAATTAAGCTTAATATAACAGAGTGGAAATTAAGCATTGAATCTAAAATATTGAAATCAGTAGAAAATTCATCAAAACGGTTTGGTATTAGTACAATTCAGAAAAAGAATAACTCAAGAAGCATAGAGAGAAAGAGTGAGAATCCATACCTCAACAGGGGCATTCTCGATGAATGCAACTCGAGTTCTGCACTCACCGCAATAGATGGAATCACAATCCTGTGGGATTCCCATTGAGTTGAAGACAAATATTGATATAGAATAGTAATGAGAAGAGAATGTTGATATATATAGAAATGGGAATGAGAAGAGAATGTTGGTATATATATATATAGAGAAATGCCACTTCTTGATTCTTGAATTTACCGTTAATTCAGAAAGGAGGGAAATTTGAACCCCAATTGAACAATGTATCGATTGTTCAGTTTACCCTCCAATCGATACATTTTTAAATTTCTGATACTAAGTTATTCACATTTTATCTTAATTAATCATATATATGCACCGACTTAAATACCCTTGCCTGTCTTTTTCTTTTTCTTTTCCTTTACTTACGAGAAATACAGTTGTATTTCAGTTTTGCTTAAGAAAATGACAAAATTGTTAAGTGAAATTCAATCTCAAAAATTAGAAACTTTGCTCAAAGAAAGATACGTTATGGATCCAATTAGAAGTGACAAAATTAATCTATGAAAAATGACCCCGCCATTTATTAGCTCAGCCCATAAAAAATGTGATACCCTGCCCGTTTGAACATTGGAATTAACTGGTACTTTTGAAATAAGACTAAGACTTCGTAGCATATAAGGAAGGATGTTTTGTGAGTTATTTTAATTGTACAAAGTCCATATGTTAAGTATTAAAGTCAAGAAAGCCGCGAAATAAAAGTTGACAAAGGTTATGGTAAATGTAGTTAAGGTGACAAGAGGGAGTTGCTCGGATGGTAAGCACCCCTCACTTTCAACCCGAAGGTTGTGAGTTCGAGTCACCAAGGGAGCAAAAAGGGGTGGGAGCTCCCTAGGAGGGTAAAAAAAAATATTTTTTTTAAAAAAAAAAATGTAGTTAAGGTATTCTCTAAAATTTTGGTGTTGATTTCCCCAAAGTTTTTTACCATAATTGGATTTTCCTTTTAGGAAAAGAAAAACACAAAGTCTCCATATATATATGGCTAACTCTTTTCTTGTAGGAAAATGTTTATGACATTATAAGTAGATGTTCATTTCTTTTAATTTGGTAGCATTCACAATGTAGTCCTTTGGGCTTTGAGAGTTTTGTGTAGGGGGAGAAACAGTGAAACACAAGTGATACGCTATCACTTGTGTTGAACCTCTTTTTATTTCGAGTGAATTGTGTGAGGTTACTTCTCTCAATAGTTTGTATTCTCATGTTTATATAGTGGATGTTCATCTCCTTTGTGGACGTAGGTCGATTGACCGAACCACGTTAAATCTTTGTGTCTTTTGATATATTTCTCATTTGTCTTCTTACTTATGGTCTTTCGAGGTTGGCTTTGTTAGCTTCCACATGACACCTAATTATTTCGATCCTAACAGTTGGATTGAACGGCATGAACGCCTAGTTATGTTGCCTCGGGATCTTGTCGCTCCTTCAAGATATTGTTGGAATGTATTCAATGGATTTAGTTGCTAATTATTGTTGTTATTGGCCATATTGGCCTTGCTTGCTAGTTGGTTGATGTTTGATAGTTGTTTGACATATTGTTTAGATACATGTTTGTTTTTAGTTTTGACGGTCCACATAACGTTTATGCTTTCCTAGATACCATGGTAGCCTCGACGGCGCCAACAGGCTTGCATTCTATCTAGTTATTACTTTATATAAATCATTGAGAGTAGTTGTTTTCTTTTTAGATCTATTGTTAGGGGCCTTGCTAGTCGAGGACTTATTTTTACGCCGAGATATACTTATTTGATTTCTTGACTGTGTGTGGCTGTCATGCGTAATTAGCAAGTGGTTTAGCAGGATCGGTTCATGCCTAAGTTTTAACATTAGGTGTTAGTTGCGCCCCTTGAATTTGGGGCGTTACAAAAAATTAGGTTGATATGTAGTTCAAATTGACTCATGAGTAATTTTGTCATAATAAAGAAAAAATAAATTTATGAGGTACTAAAAAGTATAAAATAAACAAATAAAGCAATTAAAACTTAATAAAAATTGAGTTGATAGGATTATGACCTATCAATCATATGAAACCCTCTGAATATTTCCGGTGAAATTCTCGCCGTCACTTTCGCCGGCGTAATTGATATAGATAGTGTTGCTGATTATGGCGGATGAGGTGCCACAGCCTCTGAATTATATACCAGAAGTGATTCTGAAGAAGAGGAAGAACAATGAAGAATGGGCAATCAGAAGAAAACTCCAACTGGAACAGAAAGTCAGAAAGCTCAAATCTGATAGTTTTGTCATCAAGAAGCCCGAGCAGTTTGTTCGAGAGTATAGAGATAAGGAGATGGACCTTGTCCAAATGAAACAAAGGGGAAAAAGAAGAGTCAATGGAGCACTGACTACGTCAGATTCCAAACTTCTATTTGTGATACGCATTGGAGGGAAAAGTGATATGCATCCAAGAACAAGAAAGGCTTTATACTCTTTGCGGTTGCGAAAAATCTTCAGTGGGGTCTTTGTAAAGGCAAATGAAAGAACAGTGGAGATTCTACAGAAGGTGGAGCCTTTTGTCACATATGGCTACCCCAATCTGAAGAGCGTGAAAGATCTGATTTACAAGAAAGGTTCTGGAAAAACCGACAATCAGAGGGTGCCTTTGACTAGCAATGACATTGTTGAACAGACACTGGGCCAGTATGGCATTATATGCTTAGAGGACGTTGTGAGAGAGATTGCTAGTGTTGGTCCACACTTCAAGGAGGTCACTAGCTTTCTATGCCCCTTTGCTCTCACCAAGCCAGAGAAAGCTTTGCAGGGTAAGAAGAAACGATACAATGATGGTGGCGATTCAGGAAATCGTGAGGATCACATCAATGAGTTGATCTCTAAGATGAATTAGCATAGACACCCGGGTTTCCAGATCAAATTTTTGTTGAGTGTTATAGTTTTGGTATGGGTTATTGTAAAAGATGGAGCACTTTAATCACTATCCTAGGTGCTATTCCTTTTCCTCCGCCCATTCATGTCACGTATCTCACAAGCTTAGTAATTGGTTGCTGCTTATTTCTGTCTCAAGCCATTAAAAGTTATCATTGTATCTTCTTTCCGCTACTTAATCAGATATTTTTATACTGCTGAAGTTAAAACGCCAAAAATGTACCTACTACATTATTATCAATGAAAAAAGAGCAGTTAAAAATAAATAAATAATAATAAAAAAAAAGATAGGATTATGACCAATTTTAAGCCGCTCTAGAGGCACTAGTTACTCACACATCGGAATATAATTGTTGAAGGATGCAACTTGCCTTCTGCACCCATGAGTATGACAGTGGATGCCATCATTAGGAGGGATCGCATCAGGTGTGTTCAAGTGAATAGTATCTACTCATTGTTGAATGAAGAAGCAGAGACGAAAAATGCAGAAGAATTGAATTTGATGGAAATGACAAGAGAGAATGTTGATATATATATAGAAAAGTCACTTCTTGATTCTTGAATTTACCGTTAATTCTGAATCTATTTACCCTCCAAAACTATTTTCTTTTTAATTTCTCATACCAGATATTTTATTTTGCAAACCATTAAAAATTATATAGAGAATAAATATACCATTATGTTTCATCTTCTTTTTAAATACTTACGAGAAAATATATTTTATATCTTAATAATGATATTGTTGTGTGAACTATAGAGATCTGACGTACTATTAATTAACTAGTGTATGGACATGTGTGTTGTATTTCGTAAAGAGTTACAAAAAATTTAAAGAGAGAATGTAAGCTCAAACTAATGTATGTTTGAGCCACCTTTTTAGGTTCATTTGGCTACTGCCAACTTATTAGTTGGAGCTTCTAGTTATCTTGGGAAGGTAGAAACTTGAGCCTATTTTCTACATTTTATTTTATTTATTTATTTTAATTGGGGGTGGAGAGGAGATTATAATGTGGGCAATTGAACCCTCACCAACAAAGTGGGAGTTCAGATAGCCAACCTACTAAGCTGCTAAAATTCTCCGCATATTTTCCATATTTATTATCATTGTAAAACAAAATTTTCCCCAGAAATGTTATTATACTAAATTAAGTAGGAAAATTTAAAACGCTCTAGCAAATCAGAAGAAATGTATATTGATTCTACATTCACTCCTACTCTTACATTTTATAAGATAGAGGAATAAAATAGGGCAAATTTTCAAAAAAAATGACATTTTGACATTTAATAGGACCCCTTAGCTATACTTTTAATATTTATTAAAAATAGTTATTGTTGACACCCAATTTTGACCCTCCCCAATATAAATTAATTATCGAGCTTCCTAAATTCTAAATGATCTGAAATAATTGGCTTTATAAAATTCAAAATAATTTTTAAGTCATTATTAAGTAGTTTTGTCATTTTTATAAATTTTAAGATAATAAATATGATATTTTTTATAATTATGTGTCTAATTAGTATATTTTATGAACGTTCGAAAATTGTCTCAAAAAGATTTTTAGTTTTATTTAAACATTTGG